CCGGCGATATGACGGTCATCATGGTCGTGTCTACATCTACTACTTCGATCAGCCTTCAAGGTTTCATTTTGGACAATCTCTCCATAAAATAATATCAATCCACTAATAACTTCGCACTATTTCTAACAAAAATTTTCACATTTATCTCAATAACTCGACGCTATTTCTGACATAAGATTTCGTCTGGTCCAGCCCACCTGAGGGCTGAGTGTTGCTAATGGCAACATTCAACGAGTTTAATCTACTGTATAAATATCTGAGAATATTAGGTGGTAGCGAAGCATTCGATCAGGTGGAAGTTTAATTCGCATTTCACCCATACCGAAGGCGTGTGCTACCACTATCACCGATGCCACTGCTCCGCTACCAAATTTTCTCTGATATATCCTATCGCATTTGTCACCGACCAACTTGTAACGGGTTTGGTCAATAAGTGCAAATTGGCTCAAACAAGGATATGCACACAGCTATTCGAATGTATAATCTGAATGACACCTTTTATTCTTCCTGCTATTCAGCGGTGGTAGGGCTTTTAAAAGCTCTCAACGTTAATCAAATTATTAGGAATGCGGTATTATCAAGCATCGCTTGAGATGACTGAATGCATACCTGGCCTTTACAATGACCCACGGTGGCTTATAAATGTATCATGTTGGTGATGCTATCCTCTCAGACAATTTTGGCACCAATTCACTAGCCTCGGAGGGATGGAGGCTTGGTGAACCTTGAGCGCGGTATGGAACCACTGGCCATCAACTGATCTATCATGTGTGCCGCAGGACACCTTGAATTCACTGTACCACACGCGCTCTTAGCACTGGTTTGATTTTATGAGTACATGTTTCAGAGCGCTGAGCAGCAGACAAAACTTTCGACATCAGTCAGTAGTTGAACCCGCGTTTCACACATGCCAGGTATTATATGCATACCCAGCTAGACGCGTTAAAGGTTAGTTATTGACAGCCACGATGAGATATTTCGAAGAAAGAGTAGTATGACAGCAGTAGCATATGATGTAGTGGTAGCACGCGCCCACAGTTTATGTGTAACGCGAGTTTAGATCCCACTTGATGTTGAATGCTTTACATATCTTTCAATAATCTTAGATATGTACTTGTAACTTCATACCACTGCCGAAAAACAGTTAAAGAAAACATTTTATTCGTTTTTATTTAACCGCTTTTAGCGGTGGTATGATGTTTCAAATATATACCCAGTGATGTAAAGCAGTGTGCAAAACTTTCGCGCTAGGCGGGACTAGAACCCGCACCTCATTCTTTCCGGGATTGCGTGCTCTATCCGTTACACTACTGACGCCCATTTTACACATCGCTCTTTTCTACTCTTCATTGCACCTATCTGCCAGCCGCCAGCCGTCAACGGCCTGGCCCGGGTAGTCGATCTCGACATTGAACCCACTCACACTGACAGATATTGGGTATTAAAGATCAAATAATATTCGTTTTTATTTAACCGCTTTTAGCGGTGGTATGATGTTTCAAATACATACCCAGTGATGTAGAGCAATGTGCAAAACTTTCGCGCCAGGCGGGACTAGAATCCGCACCTCAATCTTTCCGGCAATGCGTGCTCTATCCGGCTACTGACGCTCATTTCATACAAAAACATTTTATTTGCGTTTTTAGAGATAATCAAATTTTCACACTTTTTTAATTCAATTGTGATGTATTTATAAACCAATTTATTAACAATATAATCGCTATCGTGATCAATGATATGTAATTATTTGCTGGGTAAAAACTTCATACATCCTTACCTGAAAGAATGAGTCAGGCGAACAGAGATGTCGATGAGATCACTTTTAAGGTGGTTGTAGTCTTCAAAATTATTCTCTCGCAGGTGCTCCTTCATGTGTGGTACCGCAGTCCAGCCCATTTTTCCCAGAATATGGCGTATAGACATTTCAGTGTGAGGTCGACTGTAGATAGACGCTTCCCTCACACTATTGAGGCCGACTTCAGGAGTTGTTCTGTGTGGCCGTTGGCATTGATTATCTGCTTGTTATTTAACAGCCACAAAAATAGCATGCTTTCTCAATCCCAGAAAATCGCGGCTATAACTGAACATGGAGCTTGAGTTTCGCATCAGGTGTCCATCGAAACATCCCGTTTCGGTAGTCCTTTTCATCTAGAAGGCGAGCGAACGAGGTTCTGCAGTATTGATGTGTTACAAAATCATCCTCCAGCATACCACAGCCTTTTTCCAATAAGGCGATTTGGAATAAAATAATTGTATGACTGTAGTCTTGAGGTCATTATAGGACAGACCAATACCAATGAATGAATAGAATATTTTTGATTTTCTGTTTGAAAAACATGGTTTCGGAAGTTTTTTATGAGGGATGCTGATTTGTTGTTCAAAGAGCTATTTGTGTCATTTTTTAACCAGAGTTTTCAAAACATTTACAGTAACATTACTGCTACAATATTTTCGAAAACTTGTCAGAGTGTTCAACGACATTTAAAACAGTGGAATTGACAATACAAATAAGCTTGTTCTTTATGGAAATTTAATATATACTATATCACAGTACTTATCCAAAAAGTAATATGAGCGAAAAAATAATGACATTATTTGACAGCAATTCTCAAAGTGCTCTTCTCATCATCAACGCAATGGTTTAGGCTACACTTCTTGAACATTTTTTATATTTCTCTCTACATTGTGTAATCTCGTTCGATATGATATCTCTTCTTTTAACAATTTTCCGCTCTTTGCTAACATTTTGTTTATAAACCTACTTTTAACCTACATTTTGATACATTGTGATCCTTTTTGTGTCATATCAAAAATGAAAAACAACTTGTCAGTGCTAATCCGTGGCCGAAATGGACAGGCGTAATGCATGGATACGAAATTGAATACGTATTCGGAGTGCCGATTTACAACGAAAGTGCCGGCTACACTAAGAAAGAACAATTGCTGTCGGAGAAAGTCATCCAGTATTGGACTTCATTTGCTGCTACAGGGTTTGTTTTCTGTTCATTTATTTTATTAGAATTGATTTTGCTTGCTAATGTACAGACAGATGCGCTATAGTGTAGAATGAGCGATGTGCGAAACGGGCGTCAGTAGTCAACGGATACAGCACGCGCTCCCGGAAACAATGAGTACGGGTTTTAATTCCGCCTGACGCAAAAGTTTTGCACATTACTCTAAATCAATGGGTATATATTTGAAATATCATACGACCGCTAGGAGCGCTTGAATAAAAAAAATTTCATTTGATTTCGCCTAATTTGTTACCGGCTCGGAGTTACTAATCTATGTTGCCAGTGTCTTGAGATTACAGTCCTATTTCACTTCAAGCACGTTTTTCATATTTTTGCAATGGAAACGAATTTTCTAATAAATGATAAGGTTATCCAGTCGGATTTATCACGCATCTCCAAAATCGATGATAGTAGATCTTGAAACCGAGCTGTTCGGAAACATAAAAATCTGTAGAACAAAGCCCTACTCTTATTTTTGAGAATTTGCAATCTTTCATCCCATTCAAGAACATAGTTTGTTAAAGTTCATATGGATTTCAGCATTCCCCGATTGAAGGACTCTACATCGTCCGATGTTTGGCCAGAATATGACGGTATCAACAACACGAGGTGGGGATTTTGGACGAGTAATCTCAAAATAATATGACAAATCGGTTAGCGACTTATTTACGACATGAAGTACTAATTACGAAGTTTTCGTTTTTTCGTAGCTTTCTCGATGATCATTGGAAGGAGTTTTTTGTTTATTTTCATTCATTTTATTTGCTCCCTTTACAAGTTTTTTTTATACCCATCCCAGTACTTGAACATGTATTAGGTTTTTCGAGTTCATCTTGAACGACGTAGAATACTGGTTGAACATATCTCCTTGCAATTTCAAGGATATCCTGGCTGTAGCGTTTTATGGCGAGTTCGCTGTTGACTGCAGGAGAGGTTGGAGTGAAGGGGGAGGGCAGGAATAGGATCAGCTCCATATCGCCTATCACTACCACTTGGCCATGTCCCCTCCACTGGAAGGAATTAATAGGCAAAAATATAACATCTAGAAAAATTGCTTTTGATCTTCTTTACGAGGTGCATGCAATGCGCTCCGATCTTAGCGTAAAGAAAGTCGAATGTATATTTGGTACAATGGCTCGCGGGGTCTAATGATATTGCATAATTGTATATCAAAATAGTCACTACAACGCATGCAAAACCACATCCGCGCCGTGACCATTAGATTTTTCGTACGTCACATTATAGTGCACTCACGGCAATCTGACATTCACACTGATCCCTCCGTTCATTGCAGAGTAGTCCTGATCACTGCGCTAAACGTGCTACGTTCTCACGTTATAGAAACTATTGTTTCTCAACAATCTTTCTATTATTATTCAGCCTTTTTTGAGTTTTATTGGATGTCAGTGGCATACGTGCGTTACGAGGCTTTCCTCGTCTCATCAGTACCAGACGCCCTTAGTAGCAAAGGGGAAATGGGGCGAAAGTGCCATGGTGTGCGCTAAGTGAAATATCACGTGTTGCACCACCTTCTTCTCAGCTGATGCTTTGCGGCTGTATAGTTTTCAAACATTGCCTTCTTTAAATTGATTTTAAAAAACTCTCGTAGAACTTCGATATATTTTGGATGCAAGGTAGTGCTCATATGTGATAATAGCCGCAAAACATCGACTAGAAAAAAGATGTTGCAACACGTGATATTTCAATCAAAGCGCATCGTGGTTTCTTCCCCTATGCTAACATCAGTAAAGGACGTGTGGTACTGATGAGACGAGCGAGCGAAATTGTCGAAACATACGTATTGCACTAACAAGAATTGAGTGGTTAGCAAAGATACGACCTCAGACGGGAGCCGAACCCACGTTTGATCCATGCCGAGGGCGTGTGCTACCACTACATTACCGGGGTACATTCGCTCCACCTCTCATTCTTCAACATTCCTATGTTGAATGGCAGCGAAATGAAGAATAAGTGGGGCCCGAATGTACGTCGGTAGCGTAGTGGTAACACACATCCCCAGTATGTATGAAACGCGCGGGTTCGACTCCCTTCTGAAGTTTAACTTTTGCTCACCACTCAGTTCTCTTGGGGATGTATGAAACATCATAACACTGCGAAAAATGCAGTAGAGACTAGAAATTTTGAGTATCAAAGTATGTTACTCACTTTTCTATAATAAATTTCGGATCTTTGCAGATGGATGGTGTTGAAAGGCGGTTCTCAGATGAAGTCAATAAGTGCGATGAAGAGAGTTGAGTGTGATCTGTGGAGACATGCAAAGGACATCGAGTACAATTCTTACAGTACGTGTGTTAGCAACTTTTGCATACAGTTTTGTGTGATTGTAGGCTGTTTATATTTAAAAATTCCAGTTGATCAACTTCGACTCTCGTCCTCAACCAGGATTTCCTTGATGTGTTCCGTACTCATGCTGTTTCTCTTGTAATACACAATTTCAGCAAGTGGACTCATGGATATCCTTGAACTCATAACGCTCGCCAAGTGACGTTAAACTTTAAAGATTGGGTACAACCAATCACAACCGTGGCTGGCTAGCACATTTAATTCATCATTGATTTAGGGTTCAATAATCTTTCTCAGAGCGGCTAACTAATCTCTCAAAACCGCCGCTGTTCATTGTTTCGTTTATAGAATAAGAAAAATGTCTCAAGAGGTTTTGGGAGAATCGAAATCTTATTCTTGAATGTTCACAGTAATCGTAATTCACCTTGTATGGAATTTATATATTTCATACGCTCACCAATATTTTAGAGCATCATATCTCATTTTATGGCATAAGCCAAACCTGTGTTGAAAGAAAAGATTGCAGTAAAATGCACTAAAGTCCATTTGTGACGTTGCTCAAAGGTTATGTTTTCGAGTTTTTTCTGAGAACTTTCGAGTTCTCCAAATTTGAAATTTATGGGATTCGCTCAAAATTGTGAGCATTTCATGACACACCCATGATATAGAGCAGAGTTCTTTTGAGAATTTTTGAAATCCTTAACCTCTCAGCTACTGTATCGATTGATACTTCATCGTTAGTTTTCAAGAGGTCAACAACGAACGTTATGTGCATGAAAAAAGATGCTGAAAAATCTAGCAGTCGACAAATACTGCCGCCGTCAAATAGGGAAGGCAACGAGGTAGAAGAGCTAGAGGGTTGATCCTCTGTGTCTTGGAATCATACGCATAATTAGTTAATCAGTAAAAGCCGTTTGCATTGCCTCATTCGTCGTTGATGGTTGCTGATTGATATTATTATAATAAAAATATTTGAAGTCTTAAATTCATTCTAGGTAATTGAATCTTGTGCTGATTTTCATAACGATAGTGAGGGGGATTCGGAGTTTTCCTTAGTCGTTGTACATAATTTAGCTTTAATCTAAGCCTTTATTATAGATAGTAGTCGATATTGTGAAAAGATATGTTTATCTTCATTGTTACATATCACAATTTTGTACTGATCTGAAAGATCCGTCATTTTCAGAAAAGGAATACATTTTATTATCTTTTGTGCTTATCATTCATCTTACATCTCGTCAAATTGATGCTAGGTCTCTTCAAGTTTGTTCTAAAAGTTTTTACTTATTCACTATGGGCTAATATTATTTTGATTCTTTTTTTTTCGTAAATTTTAGAGTTGTATTACACATTATTGCAATTTAAGAGATTTCTAATACGGCCGATAAAGATTTCATCTCTAACTAAATATCCGTTTTTCTATTCTAAATGCCCACAACTATGACAAACCTATACGGGGAATATCTGAGTAGCTTCAAAACGCAGCTATGCTTTTACGGCTTCATCAGCATTCTTCTTCTCATGAATTTGCTTCGAAATTTCAGAGCATGTTCTTTCTTACGACACGTATCACGTGTGTTGATCTTAGCCCTTACTGAATTCGATTGCTTTTTACATTCCAACTACCCACAAAGGTTTTCGAAATACGCGTAGGCTCTGTTACTTTTGAAGAATTATCAGGTTTATGGATTTCATTAATTACTGGTGAAATTTGCCAACATCGAGAGCATGGAGGAGCATATTTAACTTGAACTGATGGTCGAATAAAAGCCTCGAGTGTGCATAAAGCGATATCAAAAGCGAGAGATAAGAGGTTTGTGAACAGTAGCGTTTGAGCGCAGATACCGATGTCATTCCACGTCACTACGTTTCAACTGCTCTCTACACTTTTACGCCGAAAATCTCATTAAATTCCCATCGAATGTTGAACATCGTTTATTATGGCTTCTATAGTAAAAGTATAAATAAAAAATTCCACACCGTACCCGGAGCTTTCGGCCTCCTCACACTTACTTTTGACGAGGAGTCGATGAATCTTTGATTGTTTACATACTAACGTGATTCAAGGGTATAAAATTCAGTTCTTGACCACTGAAAGCAACCCAAAACGATGAGCGCTTTCTGGTTAGTAACATGTAGTAAATAGTAAGATATAATTCAATGAATCAAATAAATACTCTCCTATGCTCTTTCGTGTTCTCAGTCTTTTAAGTCTGCTAGTGGTCGGCATCGTTCCGCCTACTGCGATAAAAGAGCTTTCCTTATTGTAAGTAATGTTTTAGTTGCACCTGAACTGGCTGTTACCTTAAAACAAAGCAACGTCGAACTTGACGACTGAATGTAAGAAACAGACGGTCTTCATGTGTTAGTATGGAACTAGATTGTTACACTTGGCCAATAAAAAATGGGCATTGAACGTGGAGAGAAATCGAAGTAATGATGAGATCAGTTTAAACTTGTGAGACGAACATAATCTGATCCAGTATTTTCTACGAATACTCTTTTCGATCAGTGGGTAATGTCGATTCACAAAGCAAAGAGAGATTTCACTTCTCCACTAACAAGCACACTTCAATACTTTTTTGACTAATCGAGCGAGCTAGTTAAAGACAATAGTTAGCATGGAGATAGTGGAACACGATACTAGTTCGACCCTACCAAGTTCTCATTATTTCTTTCACACGTCGTGAAATTCGTACCAAACTTATTCTAAGTCGGAAAAATCTCGCCAAATTACGCGAGAACGCTCAAGCACCGTTATCCGTGAACTCAAGTGAGAATCGACTATACCAAAGTTCAACATCATTCATGACGAGGGCTCAAACCTAGACAGACGTCGAACTTTGGTACAACTTGCGCGTAAAGTGCTCATACACCTTGGTGGATGCATCGAAAAGAGGCAAATGTAAGATCAATGGGATCTCTCAGGGTAGATGTGAGGGGCAGATTATGTTATCTTATCAGTGAACACTGATTGACTGCAGCAAACACTTGAAAATTTTCCAGTCCCTTGTCGTTTAAGCTTCGTGATCAAGAAAAGTACCCGTCGATGGCGAAACACGGAAGGGCCGGTCAAGTACTAAAAAGAACAGCCGACAGATGGACAAAACGAACTATAGAGTAAATTTCACGTGGTTACACCAGACAACGAAGACGACCACTCACACGTTTGGTGGACGTGTTTGTAATAAGTATCAATCAGCTGTACTTGTAGCTACCGTTTTAAGATAACGGTGCGAAACACACGATAGCCGCCATGCTCGAATCATGCCACCACCATGGACGACAATTGCGAGAAGAAGAGAAGAATGAATAATGTGCTGGGGTTCGCATAGTTCGTGGAGAAAGACCGTCCAAGTGACCAAGTATCTAAGTGGCCGAGTAAGTATCGAATGTGCAGAGATTAGTTGGCACCTTCCTTTACGTGATACTCAGGTCGTGAACTCTATTGGTACAATATTGCTTTTTTTCTACCTTTTACTAAAGGATCGCCATGAATAGTGCAATTTGTTCGATTATTGTCTATGCATATTCTTAGGAGAATTTTCAAATTATAGCTTAGACTTTTCTTATGACTACATGATCCAACTGATGAAATGAACTGCTGATATAAATCGTAGTTGATCATTCAGGAATACTCTGCAGTCACGACAATTAGAAGTAAGGTAGTTTCACTGTTAATTATTTCAAAAAAACAATTGGCACAAGTCGTGAATTACGAAAAGGTGACTGCAACGCTTGAGTTTTCCGTGTGTCACAGGATGCACGCAGTAATAGCGGTACAAAATTCCGCTGATTCTTTCCATTTTCTTCTTTCTACGAGAAATAGAAGGATGGAACGCTCGGCACTGGTTAATCTTTAAAGAATGCACCATGCATCTGTTTCTATTTCTGACATGTTCAAAATGATTGAACGCACATCTGGTCAATAAAATAGTTTACCTTGGTCTACAGATATTATCAACTTGGTGTTTTCATTCCCTTAGACCAGTACGGCACCATTTTGGATTGCGTGGATATTGGACAGGTAGGTTATCCAGAGGGCGATTTTGTCAGATAGCGCATTTTTTACTACGAAATTATTCCTCGCTCAGTTTTCACAATAAATGTTTCCTAGAACATATCTTCTATTTCACTCAGCGCCTCATATTTTCACACTGTTATACTCATGTTGTTTCTACATAATTCTGCGCACGTCATATATCGTCAGTGATTCACAGTTCGAAATGGCCGCCCAGCAATGATTCCGCCCCGTTGTGTACTTTTGTTCTATTTCCTTTTGTTTTTCTTCTATGTCATTTTCTTTTCTCTATTGCCTTTACTGCATCACTCTGTTTTATACCTATCAATATTCTGAAAGTTGAAGTTCCAGTCTGAAAGTTCCAGTTTGAAGAAATTTGTCATGGTCCAGTAACATCGTTCACATCTATGGTAAAGTTTGAAGAGGCATGTAGATATGTCTCTAATTACCTGTTCCTTTTAGAGGAGAGTTACAAAGCTTTGGAAAAAGGCGACTGAAAGAGTAGTATTTCCATGAAATAGTCCTAATAAATAAGCGAGGATATCCAAATCATTCCATAAGATCCCTGCTCAATCGTATATCCATGCGTAAAACAGATAAACGCTTGCCACCAAAATATCATCGTTTTTTCTTTGATACCTTTGTTAATTACAGCCCGACGTTACAATTTCCTGTCAGGAGTTCAACACTTCCTGCATTCATCGTCCTAAAGGTCTTCGAACATTTTACATGCT